AGATATAGAAATACGGCTAAAATAACTATTAGTAGCTAGTAATTACTTAAGAAATTCTAGTAAGTTATTTGACATGGCTGTGTGCATATTATTTTATAAATAGTTTTTATTAACCTTTAAACTATTATAGTGTCGATGGTGAGCAAAAGGCCTGTTGAAATGAGAAGTAGGTGAAAAGACAGCAACCTAGAAGAGGAAAGCACCAAGGGAAAGGATTAAAAATTCATTTCTATTCTTTGTTACACTAAGTGCAGGCCTTTGTGCCTTAGTGCACAAAGATCTTACTCAGTTTACTTAGACAGTTCACAGTGATCCTCTGTTCCCTGTCTTTGTTACTTGTATGTCTGCTCGTTTTCACCAGATGAGCCAATATATCTCTTGTACAAGTTCCACCTCACAACTACCATCGGTTTTTCATAGGAGAGTTCTACAGGCTAACTGTTCCAGACATTTATTGATAGAATATTCACTCCTCCAAAATAATAAGTTGTTTTTCTTAATGTGCTTTCTGGCTTTATAATCGTATAACCATTACAATCTTTTCTCACATTCTCTAGAAGAGTCTCTATCTGTCAAAGCAGAATTTTGATGAAGACATTAAAGACCCCATTGCATTTCTGCAGGGTCCTACACCAAACGTGTCTGGCATCCATTTATTCTATTAACATGTACTGCTGAATTTTTATAAGAATTATCATATCTCTGTTGCTATGTTTAAATTTTATTGCTTACATTCAAAGCAGTTATGTTGATGACACCAAGATCCTCAAACATCTGAAAAATTGCTTATGTAGTGGTCTATAAGGAGGTAACAAGACTGAGAATAATGTCTTGATATCCTTAGATGAAAATCCATGGCTTACAGGTTTCCATCTTGTCTGTCTTTTCTGGTTTAGAGTATTTAAAAGGTTAAAATACTAAGTATAAAATGAGATGAACAGCAGGAGAATGTTAAGATAACTATCAGTCAGCACTGTAAGTGTTAGGCTGGGTACAAGGCAGAGGGCAGGACTGCTTCAGCTCAGCTTCAGATCAGTTCAACCACAGCCTGCTGCTTCACAGGGCTCTTCTGGAGCCTGACACAAGTAGTGCATGTTTGACTATATGATTATTTTTCAAGAAATTATGCAAATTTTTATCAACTAAAGTTTTTTTTATATGGAAAAAAAAATCAGTAGGAAGTTTGTTTTCGATACAGTTTAGCTACTTGGCTGTTTTGTAGAACATGTCTTCATGCCTTGTTCATGTTTCTCTTGTTTGCTATTACAGTGATCTGAAAAGACAATCTGAACAGATAGGGGCTCAGGAAGCCTTGAGCCCTGCTGTATGATAGTGATAGAAGTTAGATTATTTTATTCTGGTTTATTGTGTGTTTTCTTCAAAGCTAGTTTTAAAACCTACTTCAGAAGAACACACCTCAAGAACAGAAATGGAGAGTGTTGTAGGTGTGACCTATGTCTGTGATGAAATGTAGGTCAGAAAGGGTGTGGATTATTAAGTGTTCTTTAAGCTGTAAAGAATAATTGTCCTTTTGTATAGTTACTGCGTTGACTGCCTTGAAAGTTGCTATGACAGGTTTTAGGGGCTTTTCTGAGGCACCAGAGAGCTGTCAATTTTTATTAAGTAAAGAGACTGGTAACACTATGATCACTGATTTTTTTTGAGAGAGATTTTGAAGTTGATTCTTCCTTAGGATACAGTACGACAGCCTGTTCAGAGAAACCTTCCTTACGAGATAGATCCACCCAGCATTAAAACACTTCTGCCAGCAAACTAGCTTCATCTCATTTGCACATCACAATATAATGATCTCCTTCTTGTGTAAAAATATGAAGGGCACATACGTAATTTACCCAGAAACAGTCTATTGGGATGATCATCAGACTGTGAGAGGCAAGCCTTTATAAAAGCATTATTTGAGGCTGGGGGTTTATGGACTGCCTAGTCAATTTGAGAGATTGGCTGGCATCCAGTTTTTGGTCATTCCTTCAGGGACAGATACATAGATAAGCTCATCCTAATACTCAAAAAGCCTGAAAGCTTCTTCTCACTTCCTAGAGATCAGTATCAAGAGAACAGGCACACATAAAGCAGTATAATTTTCTGCAGGCTTGTGAAATTATCTCCGGTTTTACAAGTGATATTTCTACTTCTGGAGTTTTAATTATTCATTGTTCAACTCCAGGTTTTCTAGCATTTCAATACATTGCACAACTCTGGCCTGACACTTAAAGCACCATCCTTTTTACTAATTTGATAGTCTCGTAAATTTTGTTGAGATGTTGTTCAGGTGTAAAGCATGGATTTCCTGCTTTTAAGTCCCCTTTTATGCTAAACTTTTCACGTGTACTACTAAAATCTCAAAAAATGAAATGGTATCTGTTTTCAATAACCTGCCTACATTTGTAGGACTGTTACAGCTTTATGACCCTAGATTATTACAGAGAAGTTCTATTCTACATGTGGGTTGTCATTAACTAGATGACCTTCTGAGGTCCCTTCCAACTCAAAGCATTCTATGTATTCTATGATATCTTGGCATAATCTGAGTAAATATGTTTACTTTAAAAGGTTAGTTAGTGACCAACTTGAAAAATACGATGTAATGTTCACCCATCATAAGTTATCCAAACCACAAATAAATAGGTACATAAATAAATAAGCAAGATATAGCCATAGAAATTATCAGGAAAATGAACAATTAGTCCTGTGGCTGAACATAAAAATAGATGTAAACGTAGAAAACTTTGGTTCGGTAGGGTCACTTTGCCCCACTTATTTTGTCATAAAATAAAATTTAGAATTGCTTTCAAAAATCTTGTCTTTGAAGAAATCACCAGTGCTGAGGAAGCTGCCTCCCACTTGTTGTATTAACCCTGGGATTATAAGAGTAGGTTGGCACAGGGAATGATAAAGATTGTGTCTCTTTCCACACATAGAGCTTCCTTTTGTGATATTAATCTATATGAAGCGTAGAAAACCTGTCAGTCGGTTCTGTCCTTGGCACTTGATGATTAAGCATAGCGGGGAAGCGAGGCCAGGGCTGACTGCAGGAGAGGGCAGGCAGTAAGGCAGAAGACATTGTTCTGCATGCGTCACATCACAGATAAAGATGGGAATGATTCCAGTGCCCTTTGTCTGCAGGTATGCATGCAACCCTATAATTCAAAAGGTGTCTGTAAACTTCATCTAAGCCTTCAGTATTACAATCTGATTTTGGGTAACTTTCTTCCTGTAGTAGATAGCAAAGACTTGCTGTTGACTTTATGCTCTTTCAAAGTATATTGAAAAGGTAAACATACACTTTTTGTACAGTCTCCATTTTTACACATTAAGCAAGAAGTTAAATGTGTTGGGATACCTTGTTGTTGCTTGTTGTCTGCAATGTTTGGATTTTCAGTAAATGTATTTTGGTAATTTGATGGAGTGGCATGATCTGCAGGTGACTTCCCTGTGAAGGACAGTTTTCCCTGTGTTGTTTGCTTAAGATTACTCATCACAGCCAAATGACTGACTGTAGAATAACCCTCTAACTTGGATTAAAAAAAAAAATAGTACCTTTGAATTTCCACGGCACCAGTGTGGAAATTTGACCACACTTCTTGAAGGCCAGGGAATAAGATTCGCAGTCCCTGGTGTTCCAAAAGTAAAAATTAAAAAAAAAA